TTGCCCCCGCTGGAGCTCTGCCCTCTGTCCTGGCGGAGGAGAGCTACCGGGAGGGCGCCTCCTTCCCCGACTTCCCCCGTTGCCGGGCCCGTTTGAGCAGCAGGGAAGAGAAGTTGCTGTGCTGCCCCTTCTGAACTGCGTGTCGATGCTGTGAATTACTAGTGTTTTCATGCGTAGTGTTTTTTGTTGTGTATAGGCCTCCGAATTAATTGTGTCATGTTTGCACACAAGGGTAGTTGAATTACTCATAAATAATTTAAAAMTTCAAATTATTAATGTGGTCACTATATTTTATTTGAATATTCACCGTTAATAAAGAATAAGGGGATTATGTTATCCTTATAGAAGGATATAAAACGGATAAAGGTAAATAACGAGCATTAAAAAAACCTTGATATTTTTCTCTCCAACATGTATGAGACAATGAAAGTGTCTTCCTAATCCCATCCCTTTTTTTCTGCATTTAAACAAAATGTGAGGACTAATTCCTATGCTCTGATTAACTTAAACGACAAGATCAATTTGGGCTCCTACTGCTTCCTTTGACACCCATGTATGTTAAAATCAGGTTTTCATTGACAGTAAAAATTCACAACTTTTTCTGAAGAAAAAAGTGCATCTCATTCAAAGTAAGATTTTGTTTTGACAAAATAAATCCTATTTAGTTGGAGGTATGTATTGCTGCGAGTTGAACATCGAAGGCCAGTAATGACAATGAGAAAGCAGTAAAATGGACAAGAGCATTCAGAACTGGCTAAACTAAAATACGGGTTTTACTGTATTAGGAATTACGTTAGCTATGAATAATGAGGTACKGCAGGCAGCTGGGTGTAACTGCCCAATAGTTTGGGGTTTTTTCTATAGTACAATGCATATGCTTAACAGCTGACAGAGTTTGACACTATCRGTTTGTCTATTACAGACTGCCTACACCTCAGAAGAGACTGTGAAAGGAGACCATCCAGCTTTGGATCTGGTTACAAATGGACATAAAACTCCTTTGGAATTGGTGTAGGAATAGGCTTCTCACTGCTGCTTGTCCATGTAGAATCAGTGAAGGTTTCCAATGAGGCTATCACACCTCAAATTGAGTAAKAATGGTTTAGCAGGGATATCTCAAACTACAGTTGATCTTGTGATCTGCTATGTCCTAGAAGACCCAGAGATGAAAAGAGGTTCACAGTTCATGTCAAGTCTTGTAAATCAGGTCATAATAGTCTTCCTCTCCAATAAGGATTGAACTTTGTTAATAACATTAAATATTACTTAATCTCAAATATTGTTATAGATGGCAGGTTTACTTCTACTGAAGCTTGAACTAGAAAAGCAGAATCAAGGGTGTGTTTTCTTTTTTTGCCTTTCCAGGAACAGGTCAATTTTGTTCCTAGATAAACTAGATACTTCTCTGAAGTATGACAAT